CTCTCAAACATTCAGGATCAATTTGTGCTGTGTAAAATTTATTATATTGTTATTAATTTATGATATATTATTATTCAAGGCGGTGAGTTAAAATGTCCTCCACTTCCATTATATGTATTTCTTGTAAGGTGCTCCCAGATGTGTTTATTATTATGAATCGGAGCTCTTTTAGTTTTTTTATTAAGTGACTTTTCATTCTGATGATGTCCACGTTGCTTCTTTGTTGAGTTTGATCATGAGTTTTGCCTCTCGTGCCCTTTCTTTTGTCTTGTCTTACTGTTACTCATGGATCATAAACACACGCACACACACACACACTGACCTTATAAAATCACAGTAAGACTACAGGCTGTGTTTTGTGGAAGAGGAAGTTAACGGGCTGAAGATTGTGCAGTTATGTGCAGGACCAGGAGAAAGTGGGCTCATCCTGCTCCTTCTTATCGCGTTAGCTTCACAAACATCCTACAAAAAAACACTTTCAAACTTCTTCGAACCACAATAACAAACATTGCTTTTACATTCCAACTGCTTCTGCTTATATTCAACTTTTTCTTACACAACTTGGTTCTTTTCATTTTTTGTCTTCTTTTTTTTTTTTTTACATCCTTTGCTCCTCTTGTTTTGGATCATGAACCGTTTCCGTTCCCGTCTACTTGCAGTCGGACCATCTGGACAACTTACTGAACCACCGTCTCGCTCTTTTACCCGAGCTGCTTGCTTTTACACAACTCTTGTGGAGGAGTTTAACTTGACACAAACAGCATTACCTTTTTTTTTAATTTACCATCTATTCCCCTGAGTTGCAACAATCTGTCAATATTAATTAGTAAAACAACAAAAAAACATTGTTGAAGATGTTGGTCTCATCTCAGAGAATATCAATGATTTGTTCATATTCTGCTTTTTATTGCCAACTGCCATGAAAGTTGATCAACCATGTAATTGCCCGTGCCTGTGTCTGTTAGCAAATTATCTCATGAACAGCTGGATAGATTTTAATGAAGCTCTCAGAAAATAATCACTGGATGCCCATCTACAAGTGATAAACGTTTGAAGCCAACCTGATTCAAGACAGCCACTAAAACGAGCTGACCTTAGAAAACACATAAATGACCATAACACTGTTAATTCTGCAGATAATGAGCTAGGGATTGGTGTGGTAGTAGTTGAGAGTTGCCCACAACACATATGTTGAGCACTAACAGATCATGAAAGCCTTTTTTTCATAACTTTGGCCTGAACTGTTAAAGACAGCGCTGCTTGGTTGTTAGCATAATATCTCATGTAACACTGGACTGAGTTTATTTAAACTTTCAGAACAAATCAATGAATTATTACAAATGCTTGTTTGAGTTCAGCCCAATTCAAGATGACTTTAGCAAACGAAAATCGTTCCAACTCAGTCAGTTTTATAAATCTTCTTTCTTCTTCTTTCGGCTGCTCCCTTCTTCAGGGGTCGCCACAGCGAACTGTCACACGAAGACTCTGCGTTTGTTTTACGCCAGACGTCCTACCTGACACAACCACAGACCACCGAGCTACCACAGCCCTCTGTGTGGAGCAGAGAGCTGCCATAGAGCGCCCGGGGGAGCAGATGGTGGGGGATCAGGGCCTTGCTCAAGGGCCCAGAGTAGAAAACAAGGGTGCAGATGTGGGTGTTTCACCTTTCTCACCCACATTTTGATGTTGTCGGTCTGGGGATTTAAACCGACGACCTTCAGATCACAGACCCACCTTCTCTAACCTCTGCACCACTACTCCAACTCCAATTAGTTTTACAAATATTGGTCTAATATTTGGCGTTGTACTGGAGAGTCATTCTTATCACATACTTGATACTAACAGAACAGGCTGGCTCTTCGGTAGCGGGAGCGATTAGCATCCCTTGTGAGCAAACCGACTTTTATTCATTTATGTTAAATAATTATAACAGTTGCAGCTAAATTGTGTACACTAAGATAAAAAATGTGGGCCTTAAAATGACTTTATGCAACGCGGGGACTGCTTTGCGTCACCCAATGCTTCTTTGTCATGAGCTCATGTGTAACTTCAGAAGTGCACAATGTGCCACCTGCAGCAGAAACCCTTTGATATCATCCATTTGTTCGTCGTACACAGACAGCTCGTCCCAATCCCCAGGGAGACATGGCATTGGTGTTTTTAAAAGACAAGAATATGAACTGAGTGATACTCCTTGCGGAAAAAAAATAAATAAATCCAGAAAATAGAAAAAGGAGCAGCTAATTTCCCTCCAAAGACCCCCGCCATGAGCAGCGTGCGGAGCTGAGCGTGTCTCTTTGTCTCACATTCATTATCATATCAACGTGCTGCATGCAACGCTGCCAAAGCTCCTCTGCCTGTTTTGCTGCATACATTCCTTATCATCATTCCCCGAGAATACACCTGCTAATCCTCCTCACTTTCTAAACGCACCTCCTCGCTGCGACGGCCTGTTTTAGGATTTCTCTCACAGTCTCAGACGTGCTTTTCACCCTCGGCAGCGTCTTCGTGAAGCGCCTGTTTCACATCCTGGAACCCCTCATCACGTTATGTTACGGTCTGAGCTCGACACTTGCATTTTCTGTCTTTTGTCCTCCACATTTCCCAACATTTCTCCTTGTGGTGATGTGTCTTTTCAGTCAGAGGCAATCCAAGATGGCCACCACATCCAATGACCTTAGAAAACATACAAACGTCTATAATCCAGTCAGTTTGACGGATGTTGTGCTAGGATTTGATGTGAAAGTAATCCCAAATAGCTCTAGATTTTTGCTTATTAACAGCGGGCGTCAACGCTTTTTGTCTGTTAGCAAAATATCTCTTGAACCACTGGGTGGATTTAAATTAAACTTTCAAAACAGAATCAATGCACAAACATTTACAACTCTTTATATTTTGGAGTCAATCCAATTCAAGATGGCCACCACAGCTAATTGACAAACGGTTATAGCTCAGACAGTTTTAGAAATATTGAGCAGAAATGTGTTGTGGAACCAGCTGAGACTCATTCACAGCAAGTACTCATTTTAAAATACTGAATGTGATTGTACATAACTTATTTTTAAGGGTTAAAATACAGCTCTGTCATTTTTCATCCAAAGATGATCTGAGTCTAAAACTCTATGAAAGCCGGCAGGTGATATATATTCCTCCAAGGATCGCTAAGCCTTTAATTCTTAAAGAAAACAATGAAAACCGTTAACCGACAGCGCAAAGAAATCATCCATTTCACGGACTACCTTCAAGCACAAAGTGGCCCAGAAAAGTCCTCGTCTGTGCTATTTTAAAAAGTGCACGGGACTAAAAGTCAGAGGAAATGGTTCACGAGATGGATGAACTGAAGTATCACTTCCTCACAGACACGTCACAGACACGATGCTGTGTGAAGGACACAGAAGAGATTACCCACAGTTCCTCTGCCTCACACACACACACACACACACAGACAGTCCATCCACCAACATCCACTCACAAGGGTTAAAGCACAAACACACCAAGACATTCACTCAAAGTCCATTTTTATTTAATTTTTTTTTAGGGGCAATTCGTCCAAGGTGATGTGATATAACAAGTGAGTGGATAAGCTGCCAGACATCCTCAGAATAACAAGCGCTGCAGCTCACAGGCTCTGCTGGCGTCAGACCTGGTTTCATGCAGACGCTGCATGAAGTCTACATTTAAATTACTTCACCTTTTTAAAGTGTGCTAATCCAAACACAGCCAGGAATTAACAGGTTAATTATTGCCTTTGTTGGCAAAAAAATGAATGATTATGTTTTAGAGATCATTGAGTGGTTGGTCTTGGGTGTGGTGGAAAAAAAAGTGTATTTTTTCCTTAATCTCAGAGTTCAGTTTAGTTGATTTGACTTTTTTCCTCCTTATTTTTGTAGCAATTAAAACAATAAACTTTGCACAATGTTGATCTTCTTGGTAAAAGTTCCAAACTTCTAGACTGGCATGTAGATTTTATGGCTCGTCTTCCAAAATATTATTTATTGATTTATAAAAGTTAGTTTTATTTTGATTTTAATAGGGATGCACAATATTATCGGCATGGTATCGGTATCGGTCGATATTAGTGATAAAGTTAAGTATCGGACATCGGCCATTCCATCAAAATAACTCGCCGATATAAATGGCACTTTTTTTTTTGTTACATCATTTTCTGTCCCCTTTTTTGGCATCTGCATTTGGTAGCAGTCCAAGTTGACAAAGACCATGCAGAATAATGTAGTATTTTAATTCTCTAAGTAGGTCTAGGGGAAAAAATATCGATATTGGTATCGGTTATTGGCCAAATAAATTTTAACATATTGGCATTGACCAAAAATCCAATATCGTGCATCCCTAATTTTAAATGTAGTTTTTAGATTTATTTACATTATTTTCATTGACTTTTTTTAAATACTTCAGTTTCTTATCTAATCCAGTCTTATTTTATTCTGTAGGCCATTTTTACAGTTTCCTCTCAGGCTTTTTAACTTTTATTATTATTATTATTATTATTATTATTATTGCTCAGAACAGTCAGATCTCATGAATTCAAATTGATTAGTATCTTAACATACAGTGTCCTTCTTTTGTTGATTTAAACTCCAATTCAATCAGATAATGAGTGGCACGCACCGAAAGTGCAGATAATGGGATTTAATCAACTAATTCAGCTAATTTTAAACATTTATTCCCCCATGTTGGCCCGGTGGTGCGATCTGACCTTGACTCATCTGACTTTGAGCTTCAATTGACCCAGATTAAAATTTTAGCTGTAATCAGAATGATGGGTCGAGGGCTGACCAGAGCCGCACTGTCACCAAGTTTTGGTCCCAACAGGATCCAATGATGAGGATTATGGTACCGAGTCAGGAGTGGTCAGTAATGTGTAAAACAATGCAAACACGTGACAGGTGTGTGGAAAAAAAGACAAATAAGCATTCAACAGGAAAAATGAAGGAACCTGTGAGGTTAACTTGGGGGCGGAGCTTTTTCTTGGACCCTGGGCTTTCCTTTGGGAGTGTGGGGCGACTCCTCCCTTGGCCTTCTTGGCTCCTGCTGGCCCTTTAACCCTCAGCATCTCGTAGTGCACTTCAGGAGTGTGGTGGCCAAAACGTGCTGTTCCTTCGGCCACCCTCAGTGCATTGTGGGCAACTGAGTTCACAGTGTCACTTGTGCCCTCTGTCTCACCCTCAGTCTCCTGTGCTAGGAGGCATCAGCCTTGGCAGATTCTCTCCGTCCGTTCTTCAGGGATGGAGAATCTGAGGTCTTGGCCGTCTTCCGAGGAGGGCTCACGGGCTCACTGACCAGCTCGTGAAGGGACGGCTCCTTGTACATCGCAACTGTGGAACAAAAGTAGAACAAATTCAGAACTACAGAATGTTAACAGAAAATAAAACCCAGCTAAAGTATTTTATGAGACCCAAACCTTCTATGACTTTAGGCAGGAAATGGGCGGCTCCTTTGGTCTTCTTCACCCGGTTGCCTTTCATAATCTGACCATCCCGGTTGATGCCAATATACCAGGAGCGGCCAGACTGGGTCTGACGGTACAGCATGGATGAATACGTGACGTAGTAGTTTTCAAACACGCTCTCTTTAAACTTGCACTCGGGAGTGAAGTTCTCCTGAAAAAGAAAGAAAAAAGTAAATCATAAGACCTAAATAATGAGCAAATGTTTTAGGAGAATGAATTTTAGTGCATGACAGCATGTATGTATGGACACGTGGATTAACTCCTAACGATATAGTTTGGTGACAGTTTCAAAGGAAAAAAAAGAAGATTAAAGTGACTCTGAGAGGAAGAACACTACAGTCCTTTGAGAAAAGGGCCCTTATTATACCGTTTAGGAAACGCATAACATAGCATCATTAATGCACACATTTTGTGTGTATTGCCATATTATAAATGTAAATAAAAACAGAAAGCAGAGATTTGCAAATATAAACCCATATTTTATTAAGAATTGAATACTACAACTGAATAACTTTATTCATAACTGAATCTCTAAGATCACTTGCATCTATTGTTGATCTTTGCGCAGAGATTTTTCTAAATTTCCAAATCCTTTTCATGACGTCATGAACTGTAAATTATGAGAAATTTAGTTTTTAAATTTTTTTGTTGAGGAACATCCATCTATCCATCCATCCATCCATTATCTTTACCCGCTTATTCCATTTTGGGTCACGGGGGTCGCTGGTGCCCATGTCCAGCAATCACTGTGCGAGGGGCGGGGTACACCATGGACAGGTCGCAAGTCCATCACAGGGACACATAGAGACAAACGAGACAAACAACCATTCACTCTCTCATTCACACCTAGGGACAATTTAGAGTTACCAATCAGCCTAACATGCATGTTTTTGGTCTGTGGGAGGAAACCGGAGCACCCGGAGAAAACCCACGCATGCACGGAGAGAACATGCAAACTCCACCCAGAAAGGCCCCTGGACTGGGGTTTGAACCAAGGACCTGCTCGCTGAGAGGCAGCAGCTCTACCAGTTGCGCCCCCGTGCTGCTGTTGAGGAACAATATTCAGAAATTCATTCACAGTATTTTTTCCCCCATTCTTTTTTTTGTTTGTTAGCATTTTCAGAGAGGCTGAATCTCTCAGAAGTAAAATGGGCAGAGGTTCATCAGTTTTTTGCAAATTGGTGAACCATCTTTACTTCTGAGAGATTCAGCCTCTCTAAAATGCTCTTTTAAGACCCAGTCCTCATTCTGACTTAATAATCAAACAATCTAAATCATTGCAATACAATGCTCCAGCTGTTTTCCATTCATCCATTTGTTGTCCCTGCCTCAGATTTTTAAGACACATTGCTGCCACAAAATCAAAATTAGCTTACTTTTCTCAAACAAAATAAATAAATAAAAATGGACATTTATTTAATTTAACCATTTTGAAGTTTACAACAGTCCATCGTAAATAAAATACAGGTATTCATAAATGAGATTTGCAAATACTGTACTGCAATCTGTTTTTATTTATTGATTTGTTTATTTTATTTACACATCTCTATTTTTTTCAGTATGCGGATTAAAGTCCACGTATAAGTTGAGTCAAAATGAAAAATATACTGGGGTAATAATACATAACACAGCCTGGTACTAGTAGGGTCAACTGTAAGTACCAGAAAAGTACTATGTATCTGCTATGCACATTTATCTAGATACCTATTATATACCTGGTATTTACCTGGTATATGCCCATTCAGTACTGGGTACATACCCAGTGCCTACAGATGCATACCAGAAGGAGACTGTATTTTTACAGAATCACATTAATTCACATTATTTTGGCTAATAAAAGTGTGAAGCAATAATCCAGTCAGAATTAAACTATTTCTCTGAGGTTGTTCAAACACTTATCTACAATATGTAAGATACTGATTGTTTGTAACCTTTCCACAAAACCCCACATCATCATATCTGAACTAACTCGGATCCTTGTACATTATTATCTAGAAAAAACAGCAAATGTTGCCTTAAAATTAAAAGCTGAAAGTACTTTTTCACAATTAAACTTTATTAAATTACTGACATGTATTTAGTTACCAAAACTGTTACTAATTCCATTAACTGATTGATCAAATAATCAAATCCTAAAATGTCTCCTTGATTTCCCTCTGCTTGAATTGTACCTTTTTTTTTTTCTTCCCCCCTTTGAGCAAAAGCCCAAAAGACAAATGGTAAAGTGAATGAATCAGATTGAAGGACTTGGCAAATTGGTTTAAAGACAGTCTGGGGACTTGTGGTTTGGTATTTTAAATAAAAAGATTAGGAGACACTACATTTGTGCATATTTTTGGCTTTGGATATACAAAACAAAGTCAAGACCATCCATCAATTTTATACTCGCACTCGTGGCCAGTTAAGGATACCATGCACTTCGTTCCACGCACAATCAGTTCACACAAGTAAAATCCATCACGTCGCAGTCACTTGAAAGTCAATTAATTTGGGGCCACTCCTGTGTTCTGTTAATTTTCCGTGCTGGCTGAATCTGAAGAGGCCGAATAAAAAGAAATGAGCAGAACTTGGATGAAATCCAGCAGTTTAAGCCCGTCATTGTAACGGATCATGCGCCCCTCCCTCTCTGTCCTCAGCATAAAGATTACTGAACCCTGCATAATGTTGACCGGTGATTTTAACCAACAGAGACAGACATGCATCTCTCTTAGCCCCCATTAGTGTCTCTACAGGGTCCTTCCCTCCCGTCAGAGAGCACAGCCAATCTGCTAGATTGATTAAGTGAGGCCAGCAGAGCAGGAATGGCTGAGTGCAGAAATTTTCCAAGACTTTGAACAACAGCGGAGGGCCAAAGGATCACAGCCTGGTAGGGACAAGCTTTAATAAAAAGCCAAAGGAGATGGAGAAGGTGCGGGAGAATCCAGTTTTGCAATTATCACAGATCATCACCTTTCTCCTTCAAAGAGAGATGTCCTTCTTTAGCTGAGGAAGCGTTACAAGACTTTAGATACTGCCACTCCAGTTGGTGCCCATTACACAGTTCTCTTCTAACTGTATATCAACAAAAACAATCTCCTACCCAAACTAAAGAAATTATATAACAACATCACCCTCACATCGCAGAGCTATTTTAAGATCCACTGACAGGTTAGATATCTTCTGCTGTGGTAACACTGAGGATGGGATCGATAGATGATCCGCTTCATTCATTATTAATCGGGCCAGAGAAGAGAGGGCTGGGGACGGGAGGGAGCCAGAGGAAGGCGAGCAGAAGATCACTTGGAGGGGACAGATTGGATGCAGGGCATTAAAGCAGATAAAGTAGAAAGAGCTCAGGAGGGACCCTCCCTTTGTTTTCTTTCAGAAGCAAAAGTTGAACTGCAGTTAGTTAAGAACTCTTGGTTTAAAAACACATGTACTGTATTTTTTTCCCCTATAAGTAACATTTTTTGTATAATTTGAATGCCCTGCGACTTAAAGGCTGAAGCAACGCATGATGGATTTTTTCCCCCATATTTATAAGCCAGTTTTTGGCTAAGATATGATCGTTTTCATTCATTCTGACTGAAAATATTGAACACTACCATTTTCAGCCACTAGATGTTACTCTAGTGGTAAGGCATGCCGTTGTACCATGTAGGTAAAAGTGGCTATAATGACAAATTCAAAAAAGTTCAAGACAAAAACACTCGGACTTTATTTATTATGCTTTATACTTTTTTGTTTTTGTCTTGAACTTTTTTGAATTTACCATGTCCTGGATGACTGAGAATCTTCACCAGCTATTAATGACACAATCGGCCTGCCACAGCCTGCCATAGCCTGCCATAGCCTGCCACCTTTGTTCTGCTCGCTGCTTGGAGCAACTGTCAAACCAGCTTCATTTTGCTGCACTGCCCCAACGAAATGCAGCTAATTGGACAATTAAATTAATTTTATTAAGTAAAGTTCAACTTAGACACACCTTTACTATAAAGTCGAGCAAACAAATAATTGTTTTTATGTGTTTATCTTGTTAAATTTTGAAGAAACGCACAGCAACTCGTCCCTCAGCGCGTTCCTACTTCTGCATATCCGCTTTTGAAATACAGCTGATTTGACCATTAAAGTACATTTATTAAGCAAAAGTTAGACTGAGACACACCTTTGCTATAATTTTGAGCAAACAACTAATTGTTTTTAAATGTTAATCTTCTTTAATTCTTGTTAAAGTCCTCCTGTGCATGCTCCCAATTTTTGGCACAACACCGGCCCACACTTCCGGGTTGTCAGTGGTGATGCGTAACAAACACGACGTGTCAGCTGTGAACAATAGATGTGACTTATATGGCGAAGTGATATATTTATGGATTTTTCCACTTTATTAGACATAATTGGACTGATGCAACTTATAGGGCGGAGCGACGTGTACGGTGGAAAATACAATACTTCTTTAAAGAGAACTTGTTCCTCCAAAGAACTCAATCTCTGTGATGACATTATTAACAGCCCTTCTACCAAATCATCCTGTATTTAAAGGCTCAGCATTCTTTGAAGAAATGCGTGTCACCCTTTCATGCCTGAAACTTACATATCCTATTTTGATAAGTAAAGACAGTTATAGACATTTTGTTCATTCCTGTAAATGCGTTACACACAATCTCATGCAATATTACGAGATCTTGCAAGAGCTGTTAGTGCTCAAAGCTTGTGTTGAGGATGGCTCTCAGCTACTACCAAACCAAACATTAGCTAAATAACTGTAAAAAAAGACACACTTATAGTCATGTTTTGTGTTGTTTAAAGTCAGTCAGCTGTGGCAACCATCTTACATGTGTCAATGTCAAAAAGAATATATTCTAGATGTGCCTCCACTAATTATTTTCTGAAATTTTGATGGAAATCCATCAAACACTCCATGAGATATTTTGATAACAGTGAACAGGGTTCATGTCAATAGTTAATGCCAAAGTTTTGAGCAAACTTGGGGGGTGTGGTGGTGCAGAGGATGGGCCTGCAACCGAGGGGTTGCCGGTCAACTCCCCAGGGCAACTCCCCGGATCGACAACGTCAAAATGTGGGTTGAAAAGGTGAAACACCCACACCTGTCTCCACTCTTATTTGCCCCACTCTGGGACCATGAGCAAGGCCCTTAACCCCCACCATCTGCTC